CATCAAAACAGTTAGTGATCATAATAATATTATGATAATGATTTAAAAACAACAAAACATCACGTAACAATATAACAATAATTAATAAACTGTAAATAATACTGAAGATAAATGAACAAACTGTAATAATACTGAGGATAATGCTAACTGTAATAATAATAATTTTAAAGATAATAACAATAAAAATAAACAAACACTATAATCAAAATAGTTTAAACAACAATAGCAATACAATAACAATAAACACATACAATAACATCTAACCCATCTAGGAAAAAGAGTAATAAAACTTGGAAAGGGGTCATTCCAGCAGTCTAATTAATGAAACCTCTTCCACCTCATTGGGCCTGAGAAAAGAGCAATCAATGTCAGACGCAGTTGATCAATAAATCGCATAAACCTTCGCTCAACTATGTATGCAAAGCGGATGGCGATTCGAACTGAACTCAAGCCCAGTAATCGCTTAGCTGCGGCGTGGTGGCGGCGATTTTTTTTTTTTTTTTTTTTTTTTCATTGTGTGTGTTAGGGAGGAGGCGGTAGGGTGTGCCTCTGGTTGGAGAGAGTTTTTTTTTTGGAAAAAAATCGGGTTCATGACGTGTTTCGTTGTGTGTTGATTGTGTTCATTTCAATATATGCCTATATATATAGTATTATATATATAATATAGATAGATATTATATATATAGAGAGAACGCAAGGATATAGCTATATCCTATACCTATAGATCGTAGTCCGAGATGCTAATTATATCTAAAGCTATCTATCTGATCTATCTATCTATTTATCTATCTATCTAGCTATCATCGAGAGAAAGAGAGAGAGAGAGAGAGGAGAGAGAGAGAGAGGGAGAGAGGATAGAGCGATATAGCTGAATAGAGAGAGATGATATGAAGATGAGTAGGAGAGAGAGAGATAATCTAGAGGAGAAGAGAGAGAGAGAAGGCAACTATATTAGTAGAGAAGAGAGATAGAAGAGAGATGATAGAGAGAGGACAGCCAGATAACACGAGAGAGAGAGAAGAGAGAGTAGAGAGAAAGAGAGAGAGAGATGAGAGAGAGAGAGATAGAGAGTATACAGAGATCGGATACAGAGAGAGAGTAGATAGATATAGAGATAGGAGGAGAGAGATAGAATAGAGATGTAAAGAGATGATGGGATAAGAGAGAGAAAAGAGAGAGGAGATAGAGATAGTAGAGAGAGATAGATATAGACAGAGAGATAGATATATAGAGATAGAGAGATATATATATAGATATGAGATATAGAGAGAGAGAGATAGATATAGAGAGAGAGAGAGGAGAGGAGAGAGAGGAGAGCAAGGAGAGATTGGAAAAAAGAGATATCAGAGGAGAGATATAGAGAGAGGTAGAGCGATATGGATAGATGTGTAGGATATAGTAGAGAGA